TAATATCTAATTCTTGTTCCTCTATTGTGCGCAGGCCCTAAATCCCAAAATCCCCGCTTGGCCTCCCCTACTATTAGAAATTAGTATCGGGTGGTAAATGCCCAGATATCCGGTATTAATTTCTAAAAAATATATCAGTGATAATAAAAGTTTTTAGGATATTCACATTATGCACGTCACTTCAACATAAAATTTCAGCCGAATATATTGCTGGAAATCGAATACCAGCCGGATATCCGGCATAGTTCGCCTTTCATAGTGTAGAATCTTGAATTTGATATGTTTTCTTTGATGTAATTGAGGGCGAATAAAGCTTTACTACACTTAATGAGAATGTGGCCAATTAGTTTAAGGATATAAGTTTTCCTTTATTATTGGATGTACAAATCGTAGATGACGGCGCGAACACGTCCGAGTGACACGACGGCTACGCTTTGAACTGTCTTCAACAACTCGTTGTTAGAAGCGTCATCTACGATTTGTACATTCAATAATAAAGGAATACTTATATCCATAAACTAATTGACCACATAGTTCGGCCAATCCTGAGCTAGTGTGCGACTCGAACACGTATTTTTTATTTTTTAAAAAGAAAAGATACACAAAGTGTTAATTAAGGTGAATACAATCAAAGTGAGTGATACATAAAATAGAATCGAAGAAAATACCATGAATAACGTAAGTACAATGTTTTGGTATTATAATATTCACACATAAAAGTTAACATATATAAATAACCATTCTTACATTAAATATACTAAAATTAACTGAACACAGTAAAGTTATTAATCTAGCATCTTTTGAAAGATAAAATATACATTAATGTTAAAAAGGAAACAATAATAAAAAGAGATAGCATATTAAACTTTTTTTTGAACATCATGGTTATGATTAGGTAAGGCTTTAATCCATAATTTTAAGCGATCAGGGGAGAGAATCGAATTGTAAGGTCTTGAAGTTAAGCTGGAACCAGGAATGTCCTGCACCACGTATCGGTTTTTGTTCAAAACCTTTGTTACCCTGAAGGGATCTTTAAATTCAGATTTTAATTTCTTACACTCTCCGGTTTTTATCGAAACATCCCTAATCATAACCAGATTACCTGGTTTATATGACAAAGGCTTTCGATGATGCTTGTCATAATATAATTTATTATAAGATTTGATCTTTTCTGCGACATTCAGGGCTAACTCCCTATCTTTTTCTCTTTCTAAAGTAAAATTTATTTCAACGCCAGCAATCTCATTCAAGAATTTTACTAAATCAGCATCAGTATTGTTGCGTTGATCATAACCTAAAAGTAATTTTGAGGGAGAAGATTTTAACGCCGAATGTCGAGTATTATTAAATACATATTGAACAATTTCAAGGCATATTTCCCAATCATGATTTTCATCGATAAGTTTCTTTAAAGAGGATTTTAAAAAACGATTCGCTCTTTCTGCCAAACCATTGGCCCAAGGAGCAGCAACAGCAATTAGCCTATGCTTAATATTTCTAGAAGACAGAAATTCAGAAAATTCATGAGAGGTAAATGCTGTACCTCTATCAGATACAATTCTTTCTGGGTAACCAAGAATATGAAATAAAGATGCGAGATGCTTGATAACTTCCTTTGACGTAGTAGACTTTGTAGGAAAAAGCCAAACGTAACGAGTAAAAGCGTCAATAATTACCAAAATATGTTTTGAACCATTGCAGGATTCACACAGAGGGCCAAAATGATCCATGTGTAAAATTCGAAAAGGCTCAGAAGGAGTATCAGTTATTTGCATCTCACCTTCACTGGACTTAAAACCAGCATTGGAAGTTAAGCAAGTCACACATTTACTTATATGGTCATGGACCCGTTTATGAAGAAAGGGAAACCAGTAATGAACACTGAGTCCCTGGACTGCTTTCTCGAAACCACAATGAGCAAGATCGTCATGGTAAATTCTTATTACGTTATCAATCATTGATTCTGGAACAGCAAATCGAGGCAAGTTAGAGTCTTTACGATAAACAAGTCCTCGTATTAATTGAAATTTCGGATTATCAGAAAATTCTAACTGCTCAGCAATCTCCTTAAGCCTCGGATCCTGTAATTGCTTTATCTCTAATTCTCTCTCGAGGGGCAAAGCTTCAACAAGAGCCGAAACTTCAGAGATTCTGCTGAGAGCGTCGACATGTGCCATTTTATGTCCAGAACGATGCAATATTTTAAATCTATAATTCTGCAATCTTAAGGTCCATCTAGCGAATCTAGGATTGAGATGTGCCTTATTTACAGCATACACTAATGCATGGCAATCCGTGACAATAGTGAATTCTAAACCATACAGGAATATATGGAAACGCTCAACTGCCTTAACCACAGCCAGCATTTCTAACTCAAAGCTGTGATATCTAGCCTCAGCTGAATTCGTGGCTTGACTGTAGTACGCAATGGGAGCTAATTTTCCAGATTCCTGTTTTTGGAAAAGAATAGCAGCTAAAGCCAAGGAACTTGCATCCGTATGTAATTCAGTCTCTGCATAGGGATCATATAAACGAAGAACCGGGTAAGAAATTAATTCTTGTTTTAGGATTTGAAAAGCCTTCAAGCAATCATCATTGAAATTGAAAGAGACTGACTTTCGTAAAAGATTAAGCAAAGGGCGAGCTTTAATAGCGAAATCCTTTATGAATCTACGAAAGAAATTTGCAAGACCAAGAAAACGTTGAAGTTGAACAACATTCTTAGGTATCGGAAAGTCTCTAACAGCCTTAACATGACGATCACTTAAGGTAATTCCTGACGGAGATAGAATATATCCAAGATATTCAATTTTCTCTTTTAAAAAATGACATTTTTTATAATTAAGTTTAAATCCGTATTGTTTTAAAATCAAAAGTACCTCTTTCAATGAAGACAAGTTTTCCTCAACTGTACAAGATGGCACCAAGATATCATCAATGTAAACTAAAACTTTATCCTCGCGCAAAAGAGGTTGAAAGATTTGGATCATTCTCTTTTGGAACTCAGCTGGAGCCTCACAGTAACCAAAAGGTAATTTCATGTACTCAAACTGACCATCAGGAGTCGCGAAAGCAAAATATTTAGAATGATCTGGATGAACATCTATTTGATGAAAACCATCTTTTAAGTCAAGCAAAGTAAAAACTTTCTCATTGCCCAGTCGAGAAAAACAATCTTCCATCAATGGAAAGGGGTATTTTTTACACGATCATTCAACGGTCGTAAATCAATGCACAATCGCATTGTACCGTTTTTCTTAATTACAGGAACCACCCTTGCACAATAAGGGGAAATGCTCGGTTTAATAATTCCTCTGTGCAAGAGATCATCAGTAATCTCTCGAATCTGTTTCCTTTCAGACCATGCGAAGCGTCGAGGAGAATAAGCATAAGTTGTATTGTCTTTGAGAGACACTGTGACGGCATGACCATCTTCAATTGGAATGACAGAAGTATTCTCAACTTCACGAATTAAAGTTACAAGTTTTTCATCAACCGTTGGTCCGAAATCAGATTCGAAAGTAAACTCATCAGAAAAACCAGGTAAAACAGACTGACTATAATCATCCAAAGATGCAATTTCAGAAAATAATTGGATCTTTGAATTTTCGTTACCAAAAGTTTCGCAAACAATTACAATTTTGTACATTTGCAAAAAATCACGACCAAGAATAAGGTCAACAAAAAGCTCATCGTCCTCTAGAACAAGAAAAGGAACTTTGAAAGATTTATTCGGAAAAATCGCGAGCTGAAATTCCAAAGTAAATTCTCCGAAAACTTTAATAATTGATTTATTTAAAGCTTTAAAAGAACGAGATGGAACTTTTAATTGATCCAGAGGTTGATTAGTCAAATTAGAAAAGATAGATGGTCGAATAAAAGATACAGCGCTGCCCGTATCAATAAGAGCGTCTAATGAGCAATTTGTTTCATTTAAAGCAGTCACCTTAACAATATTGTCGCTAATTTTATACGGCGATCCGATGTCGACAAAAGCTACCGTCGGTGAATGGGAAGGCTGGGAAGACTGGATGGTCTGGAGAGACTGGAAGGACTGGGAGGTCTCAGAAGATTGTGACGAAGACGTCTCTTCAATCGAAGCAACCGCTGACGAGCTACCAGATGAATTTCCAGTCAAGTTCTGCTCCTTTTTCTTCAGACGAAAACAGTTGTCCCGGGTATGCCCCTTTGTCCGGCAATAAACACAAAATACTTCCTTGGAAGAATCGGTAGACGGGCCTATTTTGGAAGAAGTCGTTTCTTCTTTCTTGATATTATCCTTGGAATTGACAGGCTTAACAGGAACAGGAGGGGTCTTTTTGGAAGGATCACCAAAAGCCAAAATAAGTGAGTGCATCTTGTCTAAGAATTGATCGATAGTTTCTGCTTGGATCAAAGAAGCTGAAGCTCTTAAAGATGGACTTCCTATACCAGAGATCAGGAAATCAATATTTTGTTTTTCAGGCAAACGAAAATTCTGTAAAAGCTTCAATTTCTGCATGGCGTAATCCTGAAAAGACTCCTTTGAAAAATTCCATTTTCTATTTTCGACTTTTTGAAAGGTTACACGAAAAGATATGTTTCTTTTGAACCTTTGAGAGATAGCTTGCTTTAAGTTGAATCAGGAATCATTAACAGTACCTGAATTAAGATCTAACCAATCTTTTGCAGACTTGATCAACTTG